GCACCATTTTGTAATAATTCAACAATAAAAGGTTACAAAATGATAAAATTTCCAAAAGATTCTGTACGTCGGGCTTTATGGGTACAGAATATTCCGACTAAGGATTGGGTACCAGCAACCAACGCTCGTCTTTGTGAGGTGAGAAATCATGTATTACTTTATTATGATAAAATAAGAATTACAAAGTTAATTAAAAATAATCTAATAAAAAACTTTTTAAAATTGTTATGCTTTTTTTATTTATTATACAATTATAATTGAATTGCGTAATATATAATGAAATTAATGTTATGATATAGATTCATTTTGCCCAACAAATGTGGAATACTGATAACAAACAAAAATTATAACAAAATGCAGTACCAACAATTTTTGGTTTTTTTATAAAAAAGCAAGTTCCAACAAAAGACGTACAGGATGATGATAGTACTGAGAGCAATATTAATAAAATAACCAGTACAGAAAACAATAAATGTACAAATAAAGTAAATGAAGAAGTTAATATTGAAACTGTGAGTGTTAATTACTAATGGAAAGAATATGTAATACTAACTACAAGCATAAATTGAAAAAAAAATGCAATATAATTTTTTTTTTTTTTTAAAGCAGGTACCATCGAAAGACATAGAATATGATAGCAGTACTGAAAGTAATGTTGTTCAAATAACCCACAATATGCAAAGCAGTAAGTGTACAAGTGAAGAAGTGACTAACAACACTGAAAATGAAGAAGTTATTAATATTGAAACAGTAAGTATTAAAAAAGAATAAACGTATTATATATAACATAACTTATGTGCAATCTTTCTAGGTTATAAATGACATTTCGAACATCATCGTGCCTACAACATCGTCAGCAAATATACCCATATCTAAATTTCATAAAAACGAAAAAAAAGAACGTGAGAAGTGTAAAAAATGTAATGAGCTGATGAAGAAACAGTACTTACGTTTTATCATTATAAGAAAGAAAATGAAAGCTTTACGATATAAAAATAAAATTCTAGAAAGCAAAGTTGATAATGATAAGTACAAGAAAGCTATGAGTACAATATTTAATGAAGATCAAGTAAGAGCATTATTAAAAAAAGTTCGTATTCGAGATTGGTTAAACGAGACAGTTCAACGTGCATTAAAATTAAAATTTATTTGTGGAATTAGTGGTTATGAGGAATTACTTCGACAAGAAATACCACTTCCTAGTTTAAGAACATTGTCGCGTAAATTAGAAGACTTCAAATTTGAACTTGGAATATCAAATCAAATGTTTGAGTTCCTAAAATTAAAAAAATCCTCTTTTAATGAAACAGATTTCGAATGTGGATTAATATTTGATGAAATGGCTATAATATCAAAGAAATGTTATAATCCTGCAACTGGATCATTAGTAGGAGATATAACATCTGTCTCTTATAC